AAAAAAAAATCAGTTTTAAAAAAATGTTTGTGTTTGAGCCTACTACAAGGTTTTTAGTCTATCAATTTGTGATTCTACTCTGAACATTACTTTAGAAACCTAGATAGTTACAAAAGATAATTTGGTATGTAGGACTGAAGTAATCTTACATTTTTTTCTCTCTCTGAATAAGACATGGATCCATCAAGCCTGCTAAAGTTGAAACTTCTGAAGTGGCAATAATCCATCAAAATGTCCAACATTCTTGTCATTTGTGAAAAAAGCAGCACCTGAAATTTAAATATATCTTAGTATCTATACCAATTAATAGAAGTAATTAAATAATCAAAAATCCGATCAAAATTACCACCTTGTGCCCTCTGGCTTTTAGTTCTGGCAGCATTCGATCCAAAATTAAGAATTTCCCAGAATTTGTTATCAATTCTTCATCAATCTTAAAAGCAGAGAAGGAACAGAAAAAACAGTTACAATAATTACCAATAATCTGTTTTTCTCAAAATAAAATCTAGGTAAATAGTTCATTCTCAATGACAAGTCTCCATAAAACTTTAAATTAAAAAACAAACTGACCTTATCATTTGATCTTTTTAAATCAGAAGACAATTCTTTCTCAAGGAAAGACACACTCTGGAATTTAAAATGGGGGCACCTGAATGGCTCAGTTGGTTAAGTGCCTGTCTCTTGATTTCAGCTCAAGTCATGATCTCAGCTTCATGAGATTAAGCCCCACATAGGGCTCTACATGGAGGGAGCCTGCTTAAGATTCTCTCCCTCTGCTCCTCCCAACATTGAGCGCACACTCTCTCTTAAAAAATAAATAAAATGAACGATTTCACAAAAAAATTAATCTAAGTCCAACCTTGAACTATCCTTCTCACTCCTCTCCCAGAGGCTTTATAGTAAGAGAACATTAAGTTTAAACTTACAGCACAAATGTCGATTTTTCTTAAAATTTACTTGAGGGGGAGCAGGAGAAAGGGTGGGGAGGGAGGAATGGGAGGTACGGAGGGGTAGTTCCAGAAATCAAAATAGTACATTATTAAATGGTATTCACCTTAAACTCTTGTGTGACCGGGTCTATAGGGTACTCAATCAAATATGGATGATTACAGCACTTACGAAGGAGCATCATTATATTCTGCAGCTTCAGATTAACTTCAGATTCTATAGGGATATTTGTTTCCACAACAGCTCTATCAAAAACATATAATCCATGAATGTGAGAAATACAAAAAGTATCACGGTTTAAAGAATACTTAAATTTATTTTAAACTCACACCTTTCTCGGTCTACTTCTGGCTGCATTTGACTGATCAATTTTTCCAATTCATTAGGGAAATCATCTATTTTGCTGTAATTTATTGACTTTCTAGTTCGCCGTCTTGGTCGTCCAGTGGGACTTAGCTCAACAGTTTCTTTCTAAAAGTGAATAATTAAAAAGGAATATATGTTAAAGAACCTATACACTTAAATTCTAAATACATAAAAGTGGATTGTAATATTTTTATGTGCAAATGTTTTAAGATATAAAGAAAAAAAAAATTCTCTTTCATCATCAAGTTTAGGGATTTCCAAAGGCACAAAATAAAGGCTCCATAAACTTTGGCCATGTGCAAATATGGTCATATTAAGTCTAAGTATTTTAAACGCTTATGACAGTATCAGAGCATTAGAGTAAATGCCTCCATATCTCAGTGGAAAAAATTAAGGATGGATAGAACTGTTTTGAACTTATATAAAGAATTTATGGGGCGCCTGGGTGGCTCAGTGGGTTAAAGCCTCTGCCTTTGGCTCGGGTCATGATCCCGGGGTCCTGGGATTGAGCCCTGCATCGGGCTCTCTGCTCAGCAGGGAGCCTGCTTCCTCCTCTCGCTCTGCCTGCCTCTCTGCCTACCTGTTATCTCTATCTGTCAAATAAATAAATAAAATCTTAAAAAAAAAAAAAGAATTTAGTAACTTAGGGTTAAGTTAAGGAGCTCCACATATCTGCATTAGAGAACATTTCTTTGGACTGGTATAACACTGCAATGAAATTCCTCACAATAAGCAATGATTATAAATTTCTAATAGTTCAAAAACCAGATTCTCTCTTTAATTATAATAAAAATTGGGGAACAGAATCTAAAGGTTACACAAAACAGAAATGTACAGAACCATAAATGTCTTGAAAAATAGATTGGTACATGGTATACAGCAAAAAGTCTAGACATTTAAACAAAATTTAAGGGTCCCCTAATCTTTTAAGATAATCACATTCTACTTTAATGTAATATGGTGGGTAATGAAAGAAGATATTTCTTTCAAATAAGGTATTCTATTACATTTTTGGAGACCAATAACCTTCTATAAAGGGATTGTGTATGGGGGATTGGTCTAGCTGGGAAACTCTTGTATACAGTGTGTGCCTGTTATTTCCTAGTCAATCCCCACATAGCATAATTTGGGTTAATCTGGGATAGGAATAAAAAATTTTAACAAACATTCCAGATAATTATAAAGCAATTAATGCATGAACCATCACCTGAATTTTAGTAGGATCACAGAATTACTAGGAGACAACTTTCATTATTGCTTTATACTCTAGTTAGAAATTCATATTCTCTAAGTCCTAAAAACAGATGATAAGATCTAAGACTGAAATTAACCAAGGAATTTCCAATACAACTGTTATTTACAGTTTATGTCAAAGCCATACTCTACCTCACTGCATCCAAACATGTTTGCAATTGTACGGTTCACAATAGCTGTATAAAAGATCTCTTGTTTCTTTGAAAGTGGTGCATAAACAACTACTTCTCGTTTAGGAGGAACTTCAAGAGCAACATCAGATTTTAGTCTTCTCAGTAAGAAAGGTGTTAGAATCTAAAATTTAAACATGAATAAACGTATGTCAATATGAAGCATTTGTATGCTTTCAGGCAATACTCTCTCCACACACCTCCTAATCCCTTCTTTCTCTTTTTTCCTTTAAAAGTACTATCAAAGGGTGCCTGGGTGGCTCAGTGGGTTAAACCTCTGCCTTCGGCTCAGGTCATGATCCCAGGGTCCTGGGATCGAGCCCTGCATCGGGCTCTCTCCTCAGTGGGGAGTCTGCTTCCCCCTCTCTCTGCCTGCCTCTCTGCCTGCTTGTGATCTCTCTCTCTCTGTCAAATGAATAAATAAAATCTTTAAAAAATAAAAAAATAAAAGTACTATCAAGTCTTGGGTGCCTGCGTGGCTCAGAGGGTTAAGCCTCTGCCTTCAGCTCAGGTCATGGTCTCAGGGTCCTGGAATCAATCCCCGCATGGGACTCTCTGTTCAGCGGAGCCTGTTTCCCCCTCTCCCTCTGCCTGCCTCTGCCTACTTGTGATCGATCGATCTCTCTCTCTCTCTCTCTCTCTCTCTGTCAAAAAATAAATAAATAATCTTTAAATAAATAAATAAATAGCTAGATAGATAAGTAAGTAAATAAAAATACTATCAAGTCTTGAAAAATGAAGAGCCTCCTACCCCCTTTAGAATTAACTTATTCCCTTGCTCTTCTCCCAGCCCTAGAGGTCACTTTTTCAAAATCTATTACAAAAGATAATCTATGCAGTTCCTTTTTCATTCTGAGTCCATAGTAAGCAGAATAAGACAAAGTCACAACCTGGTGCAGCATATGCAATACGTTCTGTTCTCTTTCTTTAGCAATAATATCTTCAGCAGTTTCAGAAAGACTAGTGATATCAAACCAAGATTCAAAGCTGTAAGAGAAAAAAATGATTACAACTTAACCTAACCCACAAATCAATTATATTAACATATATATATATACCACAAAGAAGTTGCCAAAAGGTATCATTTTTAATCCAACTACCTAGGAGAACGGAATTAATTTTGACTAAGAGCAGATTTGAGGTTAGAAAAATATAGAAAATAGTTAAATAACTGGCTTACCTACCTTTTCAAGTCATCAAATACATCTGGCAACAAAAAGTTTAGCAATGACCAAAGTTCTGATAAATTGTTTTGCAAGGGAGTACCAGTCAAAAGAAGTTTGTTATCTGCATTGAATCGTTTTAACTCCCTGATTAGACGGCATTTCATGTTCTTAATTCTGTGTCCTTCATCTACTATTAAGTATTTCCAATAGCAGTGCTAGAAAAGGAATTTAGGGAAAAACTTTAAAATGATGATCTCACAATTTTTTTTTAAAAAACAATTCTAAAAATAAAACTTCTTTATCAGGGATGGATGTTCAATTTTATCAAATGGCATTTCTGTATCTATTGAGATGGTCATGTTTTCCTCTGAACTACTAAAAGGATAAATAAATTTCCTAAAACTGATGCATACTTTTGTTCCTAAAATAGACTTTCCCTTGGCTATGAACTAATAAAGTCCACCTGCTATTATGTATTTAAACTTTTTCTATTCACATTCTTTAGTCAGGCAGTCTGGGGACATCTGGGCGGTGCAACTGGTTGAGTGTCCTACTTGATTTTGGCTCAGGTCGTGAGATGGAGCCCGGCACTGGGCTCTGCACTCAGTGTGGAGTCTGCCTGAGATTCTTTCCTTCTTCCTCTACCCCTCCCACTCGTGCTCCCTCTCATTCTCTCTCTCTAAAAATAAATCTTAAAAGAAACGGGGGAAAAAAAAAAAGCAGTCCGTGGTTTCCCTGTGTAATGCTTTATCAGGTTTTGATTAGTGTTATACTAGATTCCTAAAAAAGAACTAAAGCTTTATTAGTGCCACATGCTCTGAAACATTAAATATTAGAATTTTCATTCTTGAGACCCTCATCTGAAATGGACATTCTAATCTGATGGTGTTCTCAGTTTCTTAGTATAATTACTGATTTGTTTAGGCTTTGCCTTTCTTCTGGGGGCAGTTTTAGTAATTTCTATCTTCATAGAAAGCCATCCATTTACTTTCAGTAAGTTGTCATAAAAATAATTTTAATTTCTCACTTTTCAAAACCTTGTTAAAAAAAAGAAAGCAAAAACAACAAAACTACAATCTTACTCTGAGCATCATCAACTCAAAGGAGGAAAAAAAACTTTGTGGGGGAAAAAAAGCAAAAACAACAAAACAAATCTTACTCTCATTTTTCAATTAGCAATAATCGCACCTCAGATAAACCTCATTGGCTACAATACTGTCCCTGCACAACGCTTCTCTCATTTTTATTATCTGTGCTTTCTCTTTTATTTTGATCAGGCAATCTTAAAGTTCATCTATTTTATTGTTTAAAAATGCAAAAATATGGACTATTTCTGGGAAATAGAAATACCAAGCTGGCAATTATAGGTATCCTCAGAGAACAAGATTGGTAAATTGGGGGAAAGAACATGAAATGGGACATATTTTGCATTTCATTCTAATAGATTCATAGCAGAATTTAAAAAAAAAGTTTTGGGGGGCACCTGGGTGTCTCAGTCATTAAGCATCTGCCTTTGACTCAGATCATGATCCTAGGGTGCTGGGATTGAGCCCCGCATCACGATCCCTGTTCCGCGGGAAGCCTGCTTCTCCCTCTTCCACTCCCCCTGCTTGTGTTCCCTCTCTCACTGTCTCTCTCTGTCAAATAAATACATAAAATCTTAAAAAAAATTTTTTTTAAATATGACTTTTTTTTAAAGAAAAAAAATTGGGACTGCTTTTGCTGGTAATACCAGATAACCTAAGTAATCTCTCACTATAAGACATCTACCATAAAAAAGCAAAACAAATATAAATGAATATGTAAGAGCAAAGAAAACCCAATGCAACAGAAATGAGGATTCTGAAAAATGATTTTGTAAGTTGGGCGCCTGGGTGGCTCAGTCATTAAGTGTCTGCCTTCGGTTCATGTCATGATCCCAGGATCCTGGGATCAAGCCCCACATCAGGCTCCCTGCTTGGCATGAAGCCTGCTTTTTTCTCCCGCTCCCACTCCTTCTACTTGTGTTCCCTCTCTTGCTATCTTTCTCTGTCAAATTAAAAAAAAAAAAAAAATTTCCTAAGTTAATGGATACTTCTGCTGCCAGTCAGGAATAGGAGCCCTGTACCCTCAAAGTGAAGATTCTTAAAATAATATCCTATGTTCAGTGAAAGGGGAAATTATAAAAATTCTTAACCACTAGCAAATGGAATTGACAATAAGGCTCATCTGTTCCAATGTGGTCAGGGTAGGGAGGTCAAAATAACTAGAAAGGTCTTCATGTTTTATTATTTAGTAGAAAACTGAATTTTCAAGACACAATATATATATTATATCTATATGCTAACAAAAATACTTAATATAGCAGCAGCATTCTCAGAATTACAACTGCTTTGAAGTCTGTATGCTTTCTTCTACAAGTAGCGTATATTACTTTTATTGTGAAGAAGTAACATAACTGCAATTCATATAGCCCAAATTTCCACCAGCACACAAGTAAAATCTGATATACCAGACAGAAAAAGGAAAAGTTGTAAATTTAGAACTAAATGTGAAATAGGTGGAACAGTGATAGAGAAGTGCAAATACCAAAAAATGAACTAAGAGACAATGAGCAAAGGTTAACTTTCCAACTGCATAACTTGAGCACTAATAATTAAGTAGCTACAACATACACTAAAAACAGATACACCATATAGCCATAAGACAGTCTAAAAATAACTTGTTTTCATATATGCAATTCTTATTTAATTAAAATTAAATGGATAAGTTCTATATACTTAAACCACATGTCAGACACATCTGGAACATATTCTCAGATTAGGTTTATGTCTAGCTGAACTTAACACACTAGAATGATATTATGGCTATAGGTCAAGGTGCTATTGTTTCAATTTTCTTGTTAAAGACTACAACCTTCTCAATCTGTTAATACCAACTTTTGGTTTCTGAAAAAATCTGTAGAACACAATCCACTGCTTCCATCAGAAAAAAAAAAAAAAAAAAAAAAATCAACAAATGCTACCAGATGGTGCGAAAGTGCTATGAACTAAGAAAAATGTGGTTTATGGATCACAAAGAGTTCAATGGAGACCAATACCTGTAATGCATTTCGGTCTCTCATGGCTATTTCAAATGAAGTAATTACCACAGGATGAATCTGCAGTGTCCCTTTTCGTCTGTAAATATTCTTTACCAATTTTCGACGTTCCTGCTGGGTCCCATGATATAGCATAGTAGGAATCTAAAAGATTTTATATTGATTTATAACAAACTTAAGGACAAAATGCAAATTATTAACAATTTGGAAAATATAAAATTTATCATTTAGGAGAGAAAAGATGATTTAATCTTAGCTCTATTTTTCTATAGCAAAATGAGTCAATCACCTCTAATAAATTACTTTACTTATAAAAGAGAATAAAATAAGCCATGAAAACAAATCAAATATAAGGGAAGGATATGGCTAAGACGACACAAATATATGGAAGGAAAACACCACAGTAAGAGAAATAATTTCTACCTATGTCAGTCTTATGTGAATGAAATTATCCAATGCACTGAAAATCATCCAGGGATATTTTTGGCAAATACCTGAGATTACTAATACCTACTCTTACGTACACACTTAACATAGGTTTTGCTAACATTTGAAAAATAATTCAACTAGGGGTTCCTAGCTGGCTCAGTCAGAGGAGCACACAACTCTTGACCTTGGGGTCATGAGTTCAAGCCCCACACTGGGTGTAGAGATTACTTAAAAAAACTTAAAACAAAAAACACAACCCTCAAGATGTAGTCCAAAAATCAATTATAATAATAATTTTACAATTCAGGCCACAAAACAATAATAGAAATGATAATATATTCAACAAAAGGAAATATATCTTACGTCTGGTGTAAATCTCTGGAATTCTGCCATCCAATTAGGAAGTGTAGACAAAGGGCCACAGACGAGAAAAGGTCCAGGTACTCCTCTCTGAATCATCAATGCAATTGTAGCAATGCACTGAACGGTCTTTCCCAATCCCATTTCATCTGCTAAAATGCCATTAATTCCATTTTCCCAAAGCATCTGGACAAAATAATACACACTGTATTTAAATTCAGATATAAACACCTGCTGGATTAGCAACAGTTTACTTCTTCTTTTTACCCAATGATAATAATGATAAGATTGGCATATTCATGGTTATAACACCTGTGGGAAATTGGTTATCAAAACCATAGAAGTGTTGGCAATCTTGAATAAAATACCAAAAATTTAGTCTAGATAAATAAATTTGAAAGTAAGTATTTACACACAAAATTTCACATTTAATAATGAACTTGGAAGGAACAACTCAAGTTATGTTACAGCACATTAATAGGCTATTATATAGATATGAACCAATATCTTCCATTAAAATTGAGAATTCATTACCCTAAGCCATTCCATGCCTTCCACTTGGTACCATCGCATCACTCCTCCTGTGAAGTGTTTTGGTTGTTGAAAGGGTACTGGCTGTCCATCACATTTCCGAACTGGGTCAAAAAAGAATTTAGTGTTCTGCCTAACCGTTTGAGACAATCTGTCTTTAATTATAGTATTTGAATCTTTGTTTTTCTGAAGGTCTTCTACACAGAGATTAGAAGAACAACTTTCATTCTGTGAGGAAAAAAAGCTTAATTAGAACGTTGATACATAATGCTGCTACCCTCTATTTATCAGAAAATTTAATCAAAATTTACCCAGTCCTATAATCATTAAGTATATAGAAATAAAACCATTTGTTGAATAAAACCTTAGAGATACTTACCCCCATTCTCTCACAAATGCAAAGCCATTGAAAAAAAATTGAGATAACTCTTACAGATTACAGGCACACACTATTGAAATGACCTTTACAACTGTACCTCCCATCCAAACTTTTTAAATGAGCTACTCAAGAATTTATTAAACTATTTTGTTAATAATAATTTCTTTCACCCAAATTAAAAATAATGGATAATGTCTATAAAATAGAAAGGAAAAAAAATCCTTTCAAGGAAAAAAGAACATTTACTTCCATCTAAATTACTTTTGTTGAAGAAAAAGGGGCAAAGTAAATAAAGTTTAAGAACTCCCTACATCACACTTAAGAGTAGCAATTTATCTGTAATGACACGCATTACCAACTTATGACAAATGATAGATTATACTGGTTAGTGACATCCACAACTCTTTATTTCACATTTAAGAATGTGAAAACGAGGACTGAGTCAATTCAGATGGAAGTCTTATACATGAGAAGTCACAAATAAAGCTACAACTAGACCTTCAACTGGAAAATTACAAACCCTGAATTTTACCATTCCATAAATAAAACTAATTTGTGATGTTCATCATAAAGTCAAAAACAAAACCCTAAAGCTTTTAGAAGAAAACAGAGTATCTTGATAACCTTGTGATAATTTCTTAAAGAGGACAAAAACGCACTAACTACCAAAGGGGTTGGGGGGAAGCGATAAACTGAGCTACTATAAAACTTAGAAGTTCTGCTTACTGAAAGACACCATTAAGAAAATGAGGAGGCAAGCCACAAACTGAAAGAAAATACAGTACATAAATCTGACAAAGAACTTGTGCATTATATAAAGAACTCATATATCAACAATAAAAGGGCAAGTAACTCAATAAATGGGCAAAAGACGTGAATAGGAACTCTATAAAAGAAAACATAGAGCCATTAAGAACATGAAAATATAATTAGCAATTAAGAAAATGCAAAATAAAACCATACAAGATTCATTTCACATTCAGTAAAATGTGAAATTCATTTCATGTTCAGTTAAAATTAAGAAGACTAACATGAAATGCTGGTAGTAACATCAAGAGAAACTTCTTTTTACTTTTATTTTTCTTAACAGAAACTTTTATACACTGCTGGTGAGAATAAAATGGGTGTGTTCACTTCAGGAAAAGAATTTTCTTAAACTCAAAACATATATTTACAGTATGACCCAGCAATTCCATTTCTGGGTATATACTCAAGAACAAGAAAACACGTCCATACAGACTTGTACACAAATTATCATGGTGGTCTTATTCATAAGTCACAAACTGGAAACAATTCAAATGCCCATCCAGAGAATGGATAAAGAAATTATAGTATTCATTCAATGGAATTTTACTCAGTAACTTAAAAAAAGCTACTAATAAACTCAACAATATAAATGAGTATCAACTATGTTGAATAATAAGTTAACAGGAAATAAAAGATACATATTTGGAT